AAACTCTCTCAATGTGGCCCAGCTATGAAGAAAGGCTGTTCAAAGAAGTGAAGAAATAGACATGCATGCAAAGCATAGATAAGGACTCTCACCCTCTCAATACAGACTCTCAGCTCCATGTAGATGAAACTCACCTTCAAGCCCCTTCTCAAATTCTCAACCAAAGGCTGGCTTCTGGGATATCATACTTGACCCAAGCTTCTCCCTCTTTCTACTTCTCTAACAATTTTGATATCTCACTCACTATTTTGATACACAATTACTTTTATAATTAAGAACGTGGGCATAGTCCCCTCTCTCTCTCTCTCTCTCTCAATTTCATGTTTCAGAATGGAGGGATTTGCTAATAAAGTTCTTGTTAGGACTTCCTCGAATACTTTTAAGGAATCAATGACTCACTCTCCGACATAGTGTTGCTCTCATTATCTCAATGTCAATGAATTCTATCTAATAGTTTGCTATTGAGATCATGGCCCTATTAGTTTCACATATTCAATGGAAATGGAAATAAACCATTCTAGTGCCCTTTCTTATCCCATTTCTTCTTTCCACACATTTTTTCTATTTCAAGAACTTTAACGCATAAAACTTTCAAAGCTTTTTTGGTAAAATACTATGAAACAAATAAATGTGCATTCATATTTTGTGAATCCTAATATGAGCAGACAACCAATGAAAGTCTATTTGCTACTTAACGAGCTTGCATGATCATTACCAACTTGATTAGTGAAATGGCTTCTTCTTGTTTCAGCACATAGAGCTAGAATAATATTTTTTCTGTGAGATTCATTTTCCTTGACGACAAAATCATTTAGAATTAGATTTTTTTAAAAAAAAAAAATGATGTTCCTAAAGAAGAATTTCAAAGGGAATATCCTTATTATGAGATATATTCTTATTGAACACATCTCCAGCAAAGGTAGTGAAGCTTTGGATATAGAAGATGCTATTGGATAGTGATAATGAAATTGCTAATAGATGTGAAATTTCTCATTTTCTTGCTCCTAGATGATGTTGTTATGCCACCCATGATATTCAAAATTTTATGATAATAACGAAATGCCTCAGCAATGCATATGTGAACTAGAGATCGTACACGAACAATATAGGGGAACATAATGTGAGGAAAAGAATGCAGTTAGATCTTTTTCTCAGATAAATGCATAATTTTATTGAGAAAACAATCCAGCAAGCCACCTGTGATCAAAAGCTTGTTTATCCCATTCTCTTTATCAATGCTGAAAATATAACCAATAAAATATGTTTCTTGACCAGGATGGATGCCTATTCATGTAGAAATTTCTTGCTGCATGTTTGGAAGCACGGCCCATTAAAATTCTATACATACTAGATCAGTTGTAGAAAGCATCATGACAGCTGAAAGAAATGGTGAAGTTTCAAGAGGCTTGAAGTTCAGGTGGCTTGCAAGATAGTAATATACACTTATGTACATCATTAGATTCATTTACTCTATATTCTATTTTTAAAAGAATGAACTCTATGACTATGAATTTATGAAATGGAAAGAGGAATTTTTATTTGATAATATGAGAGTTAAAAGTTCATTTGGTATGTTTGATTGAAAGGATACTCTTATTTACATCATTAGTTACTCTAGTATGCTATCAACCCAAAGAGCTTTCAACTCGGTAAGATTGCATCGACAGTATTCTTTGTGGAGATCTTAGACATGCACCATTAAAAACCTCAACAATACAAAAGCATTCTTAGACATGCACCATTAAAAACCTCAACAATACAAAAGCATTCTTAGACATGCACCATTAAAAACCTCAATAATACAAAAGCATTCTCATTACATTCAGATAAAAGTAGTCTCATAATACATCAAATAACATATTTTAACACTTGCAAATCATACAATATAAAAGTTTTTATGCATACCATGTCAAACAAACAAAAAAAAACACACTTAATATACAATCCTAATCTACTCGGAGGCTCTCTGGATACAAATTTGAGGGCTTGGGTAGGAAGATATTTAAATATCGACACTACTGAGTACTGTTTCTTATTTGGAGATATAATAGACATAAATCAAACACTGTAATGCAAGATTCTTACAAAGAGAAGATGAAAACAGTGCTTAGTATTTGTCCATGGAAGGACCCTCTTGGTTACTGTTGGCCGACGATGGCAGTAAACCCCCATCCCAATAAGGGAAATGGGGTGCACTTGCACTCGTCGTCTCTGGTGCAACGATATGCTAGTGCTGCTCTTGCAAAAAGAAGTCGTCATCGTCATTAATAAGAGAATCGAGGAACGAGGAGAACATGTCTTAGTAATATTCATCCTCTCCCCCGAGATTGATCCTAGGGTTTCCTATTTTCACCCCTTTCTTTGCCCTCATGGGGGTTGTCTCGAGCCCAAACTCTTCCTCACAAGAGTACTGCAACCCTACATCATTTCCGCTCCCATCCTCGTCTTCCAAACCCTCAGAATTAGGGTTAGGGAGAGGGTTTTCAAGAGGAAAGCTGGTGGAAGGATTAGGGTTTTGTGGAATTCGAGAGCTTTCAATAATGGGAGAGATTACATCCTTATTATTAGGGATCTGAAGAGGGTCAGGAGGAGGAGAAGACAAGAGCGGTTTGTGGGTCCTTGGGTCAATGCCCTGAGAGATGAGCTTCTTTGAGAGGTGAGTGTTCCAGTAATTCTTGATCTCATTATCAGTGCGTCCCGGGATCCTACCAGCGATGAGGGACCACCGGTTTCCAAGGAGGCGATAGAGTCGAAGGATGAGGTCTTCCTCGTCGGCCCCAATGCGGCCGCGTTTTACACAAGGCCTAAGATAATTCATCCAACTCAGTCGGCAGCTCTTTCCGCATCGCAGGAGGCCGGCGTGCTTTGGGAGAGTCCGCCAGCGGCCCTCACCCTCGCTACCAATGTAAGCAGCCAGCACCTCGTCCTCCTCCGGGGTCCATGGCCCTAGCTTCAGACCCACCTTACTGCAGCACGGCGTCGGTCCCCCACTCCCTCTGCTGCTTCTACCACTCGTCCTTCCTGCCGCTGCTGCCGCAGGAACAGATGATTGAGGGCTCCTCATTGTTGGTTTCCAGCTTTAATCTCTGGCTCTGATCCTGCTGTTGTCTTCGTCTTCTTTTTATTCGTTTTTAGGTCTCTGATTTGTGATGGCAGAGAGGGAGAGGCACTTCTGCAAATGGGTGGAGATACAAAAGCTAGAGAGTTATAGTGTTTGGTGGGAGGGAGAGTTATACTGTCTAGAGAGAGTGTCAAGTACCTCACCTGAGTCAGAGAGAGAAAGAGAGATAATCAGATAGAGATAGAGATAGAGAGAGGAGAGAGAGAGAGTCACATATAGTTAGAGAGAGAAAGAGATTCTTTGATTGGGTATCAGTTGTGGGGCCGGGGAGCGGGGCGTTTGCTTCTCAGGGGAGGTTACCGGCCACGTGCGGTTCACACTTGTTTTTTTTTACCTCTTTCACTCTCTACATGTTATGATAATTCAGTTTGCATCGTCTTCTTCTTTGTTTTTGTTTATGTGTATTCTCTTTTTTATTCTTTCCTATGATCAGATGTTGAGGGGAAAGGTTGCAGAACTCCGCTTGCTTTCAGCCTTTCTCCCAGCAATTGTATTTTGGATTGCAAAAAAAAATAGGAAAATTTATAGAAAAAATTATAAAAAAAAAAAAATCAATACTACACTTTCTATGCAACTTACCTCAACCTAATTTTTTGTCTCGTTTTTTTCTCTACAATACACATTCTACGCAAAAACCCCCAACCAAATAAAAAAAAAATACCTAAACTACCTCATGTACTTTTATCTTACCCATGCCTCTCTTTCCTCTATTCCACCAAAATAGGGGCTTCGGCAAATTGTAAATGTGATTCGGTACTAGGGCTCAGAAAGTGTGGTCCGGCAATAGGGCTCCGGCATTGTGTAAAATACGATCCAGCAGTAGGGCTATGGCTCTGTTGCAAGTGCGGTCTGGCAGTTGCAAAGGGCGATCTGGCTTTAGATGTTACGGGATTCCAAGCTACGGCACTATGTAAAGGGAATTTTGGCCATATTCAGTTTCCGTCTGGTTGTCTTAAGACGGTTCGACACTTGGGCAATTGCAAAGGGCGATCTGGCTTTAGATGTTAAAGGATTCCAGGCTCCGGCACTATGTAAAGGGAAGTCTGGCCGTATTCAGTTTCCGTCTAGTTGTCTTAAGACGGTTCGGCACTTGGGCAGTTGCAAAGGGCGATCCGGCTTTAGATGTTACTGGATTCCAGGCTCCGGCACTATGTAAAGGGAAGTCTGGCCGTATTCAGTTTCCGTCTGGTTGTCTTAAGACGGTCCGACACTTGGGTGCTGTGATGGTGAGGCTCCGGCACTATGTAAAGGGAAGTCTGGCAGTATTCAGTTTCCGTCTGATTGTCTTAAGACGGTCCGACACTTGGGTGTTGTGATGGTGCCTGTGATTGTGCGCTCCCGCAATGTGCTATTGGGGTGCCTTAGATGTTAAGGGATTCCAGGCTCCTGTACTATGTAAAGGGAAGTCTCAGTTTCGATCTAGTAGTTGTCATAAAATGGTCCAGCACTTGGGCACTCCGGTAATGTGATGGTGCGCAGCTCCCGCAATGTGCTAGGATCCAAAACTCAACATAAAACTTGGCCAAAAAGATTTTTGTGTAGGGGAAAGGCATTTCTGTCTAAAAAATGAACTTTTTCCCTTAAGGGTATTTGCATAGAAAGTTTGTTTTGGGGAAAAAGTAAGAGAAAAAGTTAGGTTGGGGTAAATTACATAGAAAGTATGCTTTTGGGGTTTTTTATAATTTTCCTAAATTTATATATGTACCATATTTATTTAGGGAAATTTACTATGTTTAAAAATTTAGGGAAATTTATATTTGTAGCATATTTATTTAGGGAAATTTATGTATATACCATATTTGAATATTGTTGTAATGGAGTAGTACAAATTTAAGGAGTATTTATATGGATGGTCACTGATTTCAACATTTAAACATCGGACAGGTACTTTTTTTTAGAAACACCGCACATCTCTTTTTTTTCTTTTCTTGTTTTATCCTAAGTCTGATGTTCCAGACTTTGGATCACTTTTTATTTTATTTTTTGATATTTTTGAAGTGTAGGGGATGGTCCAATGTTGGAAACATAGATCACCTAATACTTGTCCAATGTTGGATCATCTGACCGGAATTTTTTAAAAGAAAATAGGGCGGTCCAATATCTTTAATATCGTACTGACTTATTTATAGGAGTTGTTCATTGGATTGATCTAATATTGGAAATATCGAACATTCTTATTTTTCTTTTCTTTTAAAAAGAGCTTCGTTCTGATGTTGTAAACATTAGACTATGTACTTATAAAAAAATTATGAGTATTAAGTGATCTGATTTTCAACATCAGACCAATCCCTACACTTCAAAAAATTACTTTGGGCAAAAATAGGGGAAAAAAAAAGAGAAGGCATAGGGTGTTTGTGAAGAAAAGTACAAATTCTGGCGTGGAATGCCAACTACTACGACTAAAGGGGGGAAGCCAAGTATACTAAATGGCTTCGCTTCCTCCTTCTGGCGACACTCAAAGGGTGAGCTTAACTCGCTTCTACCTGTTTCCTGGCTCGTTTTAAGGTCTTAATCCACGTCTTTGGTTGGAACCGCAAGAGGCACATTCCCCTAAACAACCCTAGATCCCTAGGCTGGATCACGAAGGTGGCCCCCATTCTTGGAATTTCCTGCTTTCTTTTCCCGATCCCGAGGAAAGGAAGTTGAGGACAATGTTGTAAATATCGGATCGGTATCCTTTCGTATAAATACTTCCATAAATTTGTACCAATCCGTTATAACCATATTTTAATATAATATTGAGGTAAATTTTTCAAAAATTTAATTTACTGCCTCATAAGCTTTATTTTTTTTTTGACAATGTTACTAAAGCTTTATTAATCAGTCAAAGGTTACGGCCAATCAGAAAGGGAAAACATCTGAAATAAACAAATTCTGCATACACACCGTCGTTTTGCTAATCAATCGGCAATGTCATTAGCCGCCCTTTACATATGCTGAAATGAGATTTGGAGACCTTCACACATATCCATAATATTTAGCCATTTTCTCCTCAAGCTTTATTGTTTATATAACAAATGATAAAGAGATCGTCTTGACCAGTATTTCACTGAATCTGTGGGGTGGATGGATCGCTTACCTCATAGATATGTGTTGGATCACTGGATGTTGGATCGCAACTTCGACTGGACAGAAGCGACAATCTAGAAAAATATTAAAAAATTAAAATTAAAATTAAAAATAAGGATTAGTGGTGGGCATTACAGGGACCTAAAAAAAATATTAGATCAAATTGAAAACAAGAGAAAAATATAAAAGGGAGATTTTAGGGGTTAATTGGGCCAGGACCTATACCATCTTAAACTGGTTTGATAATGATCGATTCCCCATCCATACGGCTATTGTGATAATTGAGTTTTAAATCACTAGTTTTGACTAAATATTGAATGGATTATAGTGAACAAACGCATTTCTCTTTATCAACAAATAAGGAAAGAAAATTGTAAAATTTTAACTTAAGGAAAGAAAAATTAGTATAAATGCTTTCTCTATCTCAATAAGAATCGAGTGGAACAAAATTTTAGTTAAGAAAATATATAGAATAAGATTACGTAATAAAATTGTAATATGCAGAACCTATGATCAGTAGGTGGTGGAGGTGTTATCAAGGAGAGTAATGGTATTTTTGTCACTACTTTTGCCATCCCATTGGTACTGCCTATAACAGTTAGGTAGAATATATTGCGCTTAAAGAAGGTATTCATCTAGTTGTTCAGCAGAATTGCTTTCCTCTCCAAGTTGAAAGCGAATCATCCTTTTACTCATGAATTGCATTCATGATCATTGTCGTGCCCCATGGAGGCTACATACTGTTGTAGCTAATTGCGACTTTCCACTCATACATGGTCAATCTTCCACATCTTTCGCGATGCCAACATGATAGCCTATGCCCTTGCTAAGAAGGGATCGTTTAGTTTTGAAGCTACTATTTGGCGCTCTCGACCGCACGATTTTATTTTATTACTTTTACTTCATGGCTAGGCCCAACTGCCTTATTATAGGGTTGTAAAATAATGAATTGTTTCACTTCTTATTTTTTATGAATGGAAAAATAGGTAGGAGCCTTCTCCCCCAAAAAAACCAAGTGATTGGAGTGTGTAATTGACTTGTCACAAAGTGTAAAATAAATTTTCTTGAATATTGTGATACACTTAAGTCGCTCTAATTTTACATCCAATGACTTAAAATGATTGTGACCTCTTTTTACAAAAGGAGAAGGGTCTATATTATACAATCCGTTTGGTTAAAGACATTTGTAGAACTTTATTGGTAATAACAATAAGGAATTGTATATTGTGAAACCGTTTAACTTTAATACCCCAAATAATTGGGATAAAGCTTGGATGATGATGCTATGAGACTATTTATTATTAACATTCGAGGTCACAATTACTCTTAGCCATTAGATATCCAATAGGATGGCATGAGATATATCACGATGATCAAGAAATTTTTCTTTGAGCTTTCAATCCAGTTAAAGACCCATTCAAAAGTCACAACCATCGGAACTTGACAAATAATAGTGATTGTGACCTCTTTGTACCAAAAATAAATAACCTCTTTATATATTTTTTTTAACAAAAAATTAGATATTTCTTCTAACAAAAAATTAGATATTTCTTCTACAGGCAAACTTAATTATTCATATAGTTACGCAATGAGTCTAAACCAGATTTCTTATGGATTTAGGTTGTGAAAAGTCACTCTACACGCATCCATTTTAGATCTTACAAGGGAAAGGGAGGATTCCCTTTGTCCCTTTCACACACGCAAGCACATGCAAGCAAGCATTCATGAGCAAACGCACGGGAATAAATATTCACGCATGCAGAAAAGTGCAAAATCAAAACAGAAGTTCCTTTCAATTTGAAATAGTAAATATTTAGGAAAGGATCATATATAAGGACTCATACCATGAGTCACTTTGAGTCGATGTCCACTGGATGGAGATTTTGCCATACATGTAGGCTTTATCAAGGTAATAAAAAATTTAACTCATGTAAGAGAAATGGCAAATTTGAGTCCATATTTTTCAATGAACATAAGTGTCACGATTTAGTGGGCTTTGGATCTAAGCCTTAAATAACTAAAAAATATAAGTGGGCTGTGGATCTAAGCCTTAAATAACTAAAAAATATACTTTTTTTCATCATCTAGGTTCAAAATAAAGATATTATGCAAAATTTTCAGCCAAAAAATACCTTAATACGTTTTGGAACTAGATTTATGTTGTAGCTGTAAGTTAGTCGACTTACAGAAATTAACTACTGTGGATTATCCAAGAGAGCTCCCCCACACCTTGTACTGCATTGTCTATATTTTGAAATATATTATATTGAGATCGTTCTTTCTTTTTTTCTATTTTACCCTCAGTTCAAAAATCTAACTTTCTAACTTCCCAAACACAAAACTAATATATTTGGATGGATTGAAAGTCTAACTTTTTAAATAGCCCAAAACTAGAACTAGCGTGTTTGGGCAATTTGAAAGTCTAATTTTCGAGCTGAACTAGTACTTAGTTACTTTATGTATTTTATGCAATCTGAAAGTTGGGTTTTTGAATAATCTAAGCACATGATTTTGTGTCTTAGGCAATTAGATGCTCAGATATTTAAACTCTCTAAATACATGCTTTTTACTGTTTAGAAGTTGAACTTTCAAACTGTCCAAATACAATAATTTTTTTGTTTTGGCAATTCAAATAATAGAGTTTTAAAAGAGGTAAAATGAAAATAAATAAATAGCTCAAAAAATAGGACCTCAACATTATATGTTTAAAAGGTAATACTATTTTTATTGTCCATAAATAAATGCCTCTGTAATATATAAAAATATGGGGAAATATTTGCATGTCCCGCATTTTTAGGATTCATTTCTTGATAAACCCAAGGTTTCAAAAGATATATTTTAAACCCCTGGTCATTTTTAACCTAAACAAATGTGAGAAAGACATGCTATTTTTAAACTCAATCCTTTCTCTCTATTTACTTATATGCTCCAAACTTCTCTTTTTTTCACTCTTCATATGTCTCTCTCACTCCTGTGTTTCTCCAAACACCTATTTTTCTCCTCCTAGTAACCTCTCACTCCTTCTCTCTCTCTCGAAGTTTGAGAGCATGGCTTGTAGAAAAAGCACGTCTTTTTAGATTTGTTTGGCTTAAAAACATATGTTTAAATTAGCTCAGGGGGTTAGAAGAAATAAAATCTATAATTTTTATGTCCCAATATATCTTTTAAAATCTTGTGTCTATTGTGAAATGAAACCTAAAAATATGGAGTATAGAGATATTTTTCCTAAAAATATTAAATGAGGATTTAAACCTATACTTTCTTATTAGGAAATCTTACTCTCTTGCTAGTGCACTCTTTGATTGATAGATATATCATTGTTTAGGAATTTCCTAAACTAATATAGGGGTGGCAACATTGGGTCCGAGTTGGGTCGGGTGGCCGGACCCATACATGATTGGACTCAGCTCAAAAATAAT